ATCGTCTATGAAAACAAGTTGTGAGTTTGAGTTTCAGATATAATATAACAGCTTAATTGAGACTTTCAGCTTAAGGATTGAATGTTATTGGGTGTGATTAATGTATTGAGGTGAGGTAGGCAAATGGTTAATGTGTCATGCTGAAATCACTGGTTCGAGTCTTATTTTGGGTGCCCCTGTCCTTGATGTGCTTTGATAATTGCCATAAGCATTAATCAGTAATAATGTAGCTTTTTCATGGGAACAAATATATGCGAGTATCTGTCAGCTGTGTAATGTTATGGTGACCATGAGGATGGGGTTACCAGGTTTGGCTTCAAGTATAAAACCTGTCTGAATATGTTTCCTCATGGAGGCCTGGATATTTAACACTTATTTTGCTTCCACCATTTCCATGCATATGTAAAAATCATCATAATTGATGCTTGTTAAAATCTGCGCTAAAATGTCCCAAATGAACTTAAAACTTTCCAAGTTGTTAATATCATTAATTAATTTACTACTCACTATTCATTATTAATTCACCATCAGATAAGCATTTAAATTTAATTGCAGTACCATGGTTAAGATGGGCAATGGGAAGTTAGCAAATACGTTTTTAATAGTAATTGAACATCCAGTTCATATTTAGTATTAAATTGGTTTTTTTTATTTGTCCATACACATTAAGAATATTTGATTTCAGTATTAATCATAACATCTAAGCATATCAGGATAAGTTTGAGTCCATGCTAAAAAATTTGAATCAATCACAGCTTTATCCCTATCCCATTTTGCATTCATTGCCCAATGGCTAGGTACCCACACTTAAGTTATTCTAGGCTAATACAAATGTACTTAGTCTCTGAAAATAACCAACTTTGATAGAAACTATCAACTATGTTTTATCTGAAAAGGAGCCAGGTGAATTTATGAAGCAAATAGACTTGCTTCATTTAGAGCTTTAGCATTACAGTGAATGCTAGTCAGAAGGGAAAATAGTATGGTTCTTGGACTGGGAGGCAGACTAGGGTCTCTCCTGTGGAACACTGCAGGGGATATGGGCCAGCTGACAGACAGATGGACTCTGAGATCTTGTCACTGGTTATCCCTGTACCAATATTGACTGTTTTGTCGCCAGGAGCTGTCAAATATCTTAAGGGTAAACCCTGTGAGGTGTTCCTAGATTAGAACATGATGGTATTGATAATGCATGCATTTCCTGTTTCTGTTGATTACTGGTCCTTATTAACATGATTATACAACATATAGTATAAACAGAAGACCATTGCCATTTGTTTATACTCATAAATTTGACCCACAGTTTGTGTTTCTTCCTTCAGCTCATCTTCTAAAATGATCTGGTTGTCCACCTTCCTCCGTAGGGAGTGTTGTAACAATTTAAGCATTGTCCCATGTTCTATTTGGATTTTACTTTCTGCTGTCTGTGTGTGTGTTTTGTATAAGGTAACATTTTAATTTTTTTTTTTTTTTTTTTTTTTTGTTTGTTGGTGTGTGTGTGTGTTTTTGGCCTCCGTCGGTCAGTGATGACCATGGATTTGATCCCACTTGTCTGCCCTGCTGGAACATCGCTGCGAGTGGCAGTTCCTATTTCTGTGATTAAATGAAATTGAGGAGTGTTAAACAGTTATTGACCAGGGTTGATATTGCTAAACAAAAAGACAATGAGATTTTATTTATGGTCGAAAATTCTTCAAACTTTTCCAGATTGTAAACAGTAATAACAAATATATTGAATGTAAAAATGGTTGCTCACCATATTCAGTGGTAGAGATATTTATAATGTGATTTGTTCATGGTTACCAATGATATAAAAGAAATTGGTCTGCAAAGTATTGTCATGCAATTTCATTTGAACAATATATCCTTGGAGCTACTGCTTCATGTCACGAAAGCCATTTCTTCTGTCGAAGCCAATTTTGGGTGATAAAAAATCTGCAAAGGGTAAAGATTGGAGTTTCAGATCTTTGGAACACCCGTAAGTGTTTGATCTCTTTGCTTTCATTTTGACCTTCAGAAATATGTCATGGAGATTGGCCAGCAGGTGGTCTTTATCGGCTCTGAAAGGAAGCTGAGGAATATTGTAGGCTTCAGATTGTTTTTTTATTATGTATAGGTCTGCAAAAACCAGCTTTGTTTTGGGATTCATGTTAACAAGGTACCTTTATTAACAGAAATATTTACATAATTCACATTGCATTTTCGTTTTACCTTTTTAATCTGAAATATTCTACACAAGCTTTTCTGGTAGCTGAAAAACATTTCTTCATAATTTCAGCAAATGAGTAGCTTTTAACACAAACAGTCAAACTCCATTCCCTTGTTTTGGATGAATTCATGAAATACATTTTTTTTAAATGGGAGATTTCACAGAGTATGCATATTAATCTGTCTGAGTGTGCTTTATCCTTGATGCATTGTTTTTGGCCGACCATTAAACATATTAAAGTGGTTGTCTCCAGACAGTGAGTCAGGCCATCGTGTGTTTATTACTCCTTTCAGCTGATAGTTTACAGAAAAGATTAGCTATGATAACATACTTCGGCTTGGTCTGATCCAATGTTTATGTCTAATATGTTTGAAGTATGTTGTTTTCTTTTCACTCCTAAATTTTAGTATTAATAAAGATTGATGTTCAACCACGCCATCTGCCCAACAGTTTACAAGTGGCTGTGGTCAAACCTATCTGTAATCCTTCGATCATCCAACTAAATGCAACACGATCTTCAGTGTTTATACGTGGCAACCTGCATGCTCTTTAAAAAATCTGTCTATTTGTTTTGACAAGTTGAAGTAGTTAGTTGGAGGTAATTTGTTCTGGAAACGTTTTCTAAGCGCATTTCAGAAGCGTAGCATTTGTTTATGGAATATTTAAGATTACAAATGACCTAAACAATGTAATTAATGTGACATGTTTCCATAGAAAACTAAACTCTTTTGTAGTATCCTAGCACATCAAAAGTTTTATCCAATACTTTAGTGGCCATTTTCTTTTTGCCCAGCACTTGAGTTTTTCCTCTGTGGACAAACAAATCAGTCAGAAGATACTTAGGTAATTTGTTTGCCCTCGTGTTTAGTTTCATGCATGTCATTTAAAACTTGAAATTTTTATTTTTTCATTTTTTTTTTGTGATTTAGATCTTAAGAAATTACTTTTAACTTTCTTTGTCTCTAGGCATTTGTGTGTTTTCATTGGTAAGCAGTTTTCTTGTTTGCTTGAAGAGTGTACATTTTGATATATTTGTAGACGCACAGAAGCCAGTGTTGTTGTATTTATTTAAGCTCACAAGGATGTGGACAGAGTAAAGCAGCACGTTTCTTCTAATATTTCACTAAACTGTTAAGGATAAAAACATATTTTGAAAAGAAAATGATCAACATCACATGATCCTGACTTAATACTACTAGTAATAACTAGTCATCATAATTTGTCCAGCAACACATATTATTAAAGGGGACAGTAGGTAGTAGCCTTGTCCTTATAGCGTTTGCACGTCAAACCGAAGACCTGATTTCAATTTTCCACATGGGTACAATGTGTGAAGCCCATTTTTGGTGTTCCCTACTGTGATATTGTTGGAATATTGCTAAAAGCAGCGTAAAACTATACTGTCACTCACTCATTATTATTAAGGAATAATACTATAGTGGTAGTAAGAATGAGGGGTTGAATGTTTGTATCAAGGTTATCAACTAATTGGCATTAATCAGAACTAATTTGAAAATATGACTTCTACAGTTTCAGTCTAAAGTTTGTTGGACCTGTGAAGGTCTGGATTAGAATAATGATCTTCAGTTACCCAAGCTTGTCATAAGAGGCGACTAACGGGATCGGGTGGTCAGGCTCACTGGCTAGGTTGACACATGTCATCAGTTCCCATTTGCGCAGATCCATGCTTATGCTGTTGATCACTGGATTGTCTTGTCCAGACTCGATTATATAGACCGCCACCATATAGCTGGAATTTTGCTGAGTGCAGCGTAAAACTAAACTCACTCACTCACTCACTAAAGTTTGTTGTCACCACAAACTCTTTTGTGAGGTACCTTTTCATGATTAAGTTAAGTAGTCTGTATGAGGACAAAGTGTCTTCATATGTGCACGTATGTAGTTGATATGACTAAATTATGTTGATAAACACACACTCCCGAATCCACCTTGTTTTTGGCAGAGCTGGCACTGATTTTGTAATTGCTGCAATTGAGTCTGTCTGCTTAGCTGCTCTGACACGAGCTGATAAACAGGGACATGTGTAGGGCTGCTGTGAGCCTCCACATGGAGCCAGGCAAAACAAAATTAAGAAATTTGCAATTATGATTCTCATTAGAGATTAATGCTTGTTTAATTCAAATGGGTGATAACTGAAATCTGTTGCAAATTTGTATGGCATAGCTTCGACAGTTTTCTTTCAATAAAATCCACTTTATGGTGACAGAAAGCATATTAATTGCAGGAAAATCATAGGTTTCTGAAATGGGCAGAGATTAACAGTAAAATGTCTGTTTTGAACACAAAAAGTCTTTCCATCTGGGGAAAACCACAAGTGCCACATCTTGTAATCTAAATATGTAAAAGATACATTTAGGAAAGAAATGGGAAACTTTTGAAGTTTCTATGTAATAAAATATAATTTGGTCCATTGAAATACTAATAATACCTATAAAATTTAATGATATTTTAAATTTCCGCTTGACATGACAAGAAGAAAATTATAAAAGAGTTTTGACCATCACAAATATCGGGACTCTTTTTGATATGTTTAATGCTTATGCACCTGAAGAAATCACTTGTTTTCCCATACAAGCTTGTAGACACACATGCAGACACTCTTCAACAGATATAAACAACACTTGATTCTTTTATGGTCATGAAAGATTATTCATATGAGAGAATCAAGTGTTCTTGAACTTCTTTTCTATATGTGTGTGTGTGTGTGTTTTCAAAAGAAGGTACCTAACAACTGTCTATATATAATGTTATTTTCTTGTTTTTCTTCCAGACAAAGAGAGCCTTGTATCCGATGCAGGCAAAGTGACAGTGCTTGATACTCTGCTACAGCGGCTGAAGAGAGATGGACACAGAGTCCTCATCTACTCCCAGATGACCAGAATGATTGACTTGCTGGAGGTGAGTACTGACACCCTTATCTAATTCAAGGATCAGCCAATGTACCTGAAGAAATAAACACTGGGTAAAAATGAAGGTGGTAAAGATGGAAGGGAACAGTTTACCATTGATAGCACTGTGATTTGTTTTCACCAACAGAATTGAAAACATTCCTGCAAACACCTGTATGGAAAAGACACAACACTTACTGGCTTACAGCACTGATGATTTATCAGTAACAAAATCATTATCTGGTTTTCTTTTCTTTCCAATGTATGTCACTAAACATTCTTAAATCAATCAATGATCTAATTTATTTTAAATTTTCATTTTTGTGTCCTTGTGTTACAATAGGTATTATATTGTATTGTTCCTTTGTACTGACACCATGTTTTGCAATAATTGCTCTGTTGAGACTCTGCAATGTATTTAGGAGTACATCATATTAGGATACATTGTATCTGTATCGTGATTGGCAGTGAGTTCTAATGACACTGGAATCAGTCACATCTTTCACTGTTGCGAGTTAGGACAGTCTCATGAGACGAGCTGTCTAAATAGAGAAAGTAGAAAGTGATCTTACAATTAACTGCATCAGGGGTTCAGTGATTTGTAAGGGAAGGAATTAAACTGCCAGCCTCTGTCAAAGGGAAAACTGAAAATCCATTCCCTGACCCTGGTTATCATTCCGTAGTGACTTTCAATATGAATTTGACAAGCTCCATCTCATCGAGTTCAGATGGAATGAGATATGACAGGCTTCAAGATCACCAGATAGCCACAAACAATAGATGTAAATGGAAAATACTGATTTCCGCTTGACATGAAAAGAAGAGACGGAGCAGCAGTCTATGGTGGCAGCATGTGTAGATGTGAGGGAGGAACATGCTGGGTGTAATATTGCTGTGTGTCTGCCCTTACAGTCATCCCGGGACACTCACTGTCTATCACACCAATAGGCCTTTTGTCAGCCTATCTCTCACTGGTGAAGGCCCAGCCCATTGCGGCCACTAAGACCCTGGTTGGGTTACCAGCCACTGGAAGCGGGTAGTTAGCCATGTAATAAGGCCCTGTAAACCCATCATTATTGGGACTTCCTCAACAGGAAGGGCTTTCAGTGCAACAGAAATCACAGCACAGGTCATAGAAACACGTCAGGTGGTGACCACAAAGGTCAAAGGGTTTTTTGTGACTCGGTGACCCTAGCATTGCTGTATGACATGTTTTATTTTATGCAGAAAGTCAAACACAGCGCAAGGCTGAATGTATGTGTCAGACTACAAATGGGTTTATCTTTGTTTTGTTACTGTTTATCTCTCCAGAACACAGTTTCTTCTCACTGACAAGCAAGCTGTCTCTGCCCTGCTCTCAACTCCAGATGGCTTCACTGTCTCTTAAACTTATTTCTGGTGTCCCCCACTGTGATATTGATGGAATATTGCTAAGAGTGTAAACTAACTCACTCGCTCACTCAATAAGACAATACCTCTCAGCAGTACCCTTTTCTAAACTGAATTATCACCTCTTGCATTTTCATGTGCAATTGTTAAAACCATGAAGCAGTGAAGTATTGCATGTGAGATAGCATCTTTGATTCAGTATATATTCAGGTGTATGTCAGTCATTTCTGGCACTGTCAAAGGCACATTTTGTTCACAAACTAGTCTCATTTAACATAGCTATAATTATGGTAATTAAATACTTTAAAGGCACTGTAATCAAGGAACAAAGATGTGGTTAATTTTATCAAGGACTGACTTGCGTTTTAACACTGCAACAAGCATAATTTTGGCAGATGACAGGTTACCATTTTGGTAGTTAAATTAAACCTTATTCATTTAAGTTAAGAAGATAATAACAAGGACACATGGCAGATTGTTGAAGAATTGGTGTTTTAGACAAGAAAAGTCTTCTATGTTTACTGACTTTATTGTATAACAGATTTGGAGCTAGGCAGAGTTCCAACGGTTTCATAAAATTTCAAATGTCCAATAATGTCAGCAACTCGAGCCAACCTTTTGGATTTGACAAGATGAGTGTAGCAAGTGAAATCATATTTGTTAGATGGCCATTTTCATAAAGATAATCATAGGTTGTGAAGTTTAAGATTTCTGTCTTCACTGTTCCTTCTGAATTCATTAATGTTATTTATATTTCCCGTTTTTCCTTTGCTCTGGAGGTCACAGTGACCTGGGCGTGTCATCGATTCCTGTTGAGAGTGATTACTCAATTGACAGCAACTGTGTTGTCTGATTACACATTGTCCCCCTGGTATTGATGATAATGACAGCATGGTCAGGCAGCTGGTGGATGCCCACAGTCACACTGTCCTCACTGGCTGCATGTGCCCTCAGAAATGAGGGTTGTTGATCACACAGAGTAAGGTCTTTCTACCTGATGGAAAACATGTCTAATGTAAACAACACCTACACAATTACTCTGTTTAAAATCATCATGTCATGTACCGGTAATCATTTTGAAAGTAGGAAAGGAAAGTTTAAAACACATCCAGCATTCCTACTTATTAGTTCTCCTTTGACATTTTTTACATTTTTGGAAAATAGGCTGATGGGTTTACTTCAATCATTGTGTCCACCAATACATATAGTCATGAATATCTCAGAGAATTAAATGCACTAAATCAGTTCAGATATTAATACATTTTATGAGATATATAACAGTTAATGTGTATCCTAGTTTAGTTATTAACGTAGATGTCCTTATTATGGTTTCATTTATTACAATGAAAATGCGTCTTTAATTTCTCTTTGAATGATTAATAAACCAAGCTCAATAAAACCGTTATCTTGAAATTTCAGAATGAATGTTTGATAAGCCTAGCTTCAGAATCAGTCTGTCTAAGTTGCTATAATGAGCCTAGATTGTCAACTGGGAGTGATACCAACATTTATGGATGAATCAGGCAATTATAGAACTTACTGCAGGTCAGGCCGACATGTCATGAAGATTAATACCCCAGTGTCCGTGACTCATTGGTCCAAGTTCATTAGAATTCCTGTAAAAAACACCCGGATCTGTGGGTCACTGTGCCCTCTTAAGCCTGATTGGGTTTTGGGATTGTCAGGCACAGACTCTATTAATCTTTTTCTCATATTTACAGTGTTCTTCAAGAGTCATGCCATCTGTCCTTGTCAGTAACACGAGTTTAATTGGGCAAATTTCATTCCATGTTTGGCTTTTGGCGTTTTATAAGTATTTGTTTGCCCTGTCCAAGCATGACAACATTTTGACAAATTGAATTGTCGTTCTATTATTTAATTTTTCCTTTCCAATTTTTGGCTGCCCTTCAGGTAGTGCCGAAGTAAAATGATAATTTGCAGGAAAAAACAGATGAAGAATATTTCGCTTATAATCAAATCAATTAATTTTATGAGAAAGTAATTTCAGGTCTTGACAGATGGATGCATTTATTCAATATAATACAGGGCATTTGAACTTGATCAAATCTGTATTAAATGTAGAAATATGCACCATCTTCTTGATTCTTGATGGTTCCAATAATATATGCAGAGTTCTACTGTCCTTGAAGGTTTCACTGGTATTTAAATCTAGGGACCTTTTATCTCCATGACTTGTAACTGTAGAGATTGGACAAGGACTCTTTGAATGTCATACTTAATATCAAACTCTGTATATGACTATATTGAAATGATAATGTTGGTAGATTTTCAAGCCCTTCACGGAAGTATCTAGATTTTTATCTTGAATCTTATTGGCTTTCATTTGATCATCCATTTAAATATCTAGTCCAGATAAATATGGCATTCCTTCAAATCATCAAGTCATCCTGTAAAATTGTTGTTTTGCTTACTTAATCCATGTCATGATGTTTATCAATGTGTACACACCCTCAGTCTACACCTGCCCTTCATCATGCAGGCCAGGTGTTCTACAGGTGGGTGGCTGCAGTGTTGGGGGCAGGGACCAGGTAAACACACCCTAGGATACCCAAGGGGTCACATGGCTACCCCATGGTGACCCCCACCCCCTAGGCCCCTGTCCAAGTAATCACCTGGCTCTGACCTGTATTGTGACATTCACCACCAGGTGGAGCCCTTGGGGCTTGGTGGGTGTGAGACTGGCGATAGATCAATTGACGGAAATTGGTTTATTTCTCTGGCGTTTGCACACACACTTCTAGGACTGTTTCCTCAGGTTTCAAAGTCTATTGGAAGTATCGGCAAGTAGGACATAACCTCATCAAAAATGGAAGATTGAGTTTCAAAGTTAAATATAATTGGAGAATGTTATTTTCTTGTGTTCTCTACTTATTCTCGTTAATTACATCTGGCGAATGTAACATTAAACGTCAAAATTCCAGCCTTCACATCAGAATACATTATTTATATTTTCTGTATTAAATAGATTTTGCATCTCTTTACTCCTTAGACAAATCATTTGTTTGGAATTAAAGTACCTGCTCCCATTTTTCTGAATTTTTCATAAATCTGTAATGAGGAAGAGATGCCAGCTGGGCAATGTTGAGTCTAAGTGTGAATTTTCAGAGGCAGCTGATGAGTTTTTTCAGGACAGGAAATAGGAAATTATTAGGAGAAATGGGGCTCAGCTGGCTTCGACCAGATGCCAAACGTGACAAAATGATTTCTTTCAGATTTAAACATATTTTTCTTATTTTTAGAAAAATTAAATCAAACCCTTACAGATTAAAAAAAATATTGCTGCCTGTGTTATTATTCGTACAGAAAGAAAGAAACTTTACTTTTAATATATATATTCTTTTTACATGTCTTGATGCATGAAGAAGGAAGTTAATGCAATTTACTACACATTTGGACACAGAGACTGACTATTTGAATTTGGTAAAAAAAATTAAATAAGCAGTTCTTTAAAATGCTCGAGGGTGGAGCTACTGTTGCTACTCAGGCTGCATTTGTTTGTTTGTTGTTTAACGCTGCACTCACCAATCAATATTCCAGCTAAATGGCAGTACTCAGGCTGGATGTTCTGGGGGTAAACATAAAACAAATGCCAAAATATGTGTTTAGGATTTTTTGAAACATTATGTCTTGATGTTTTAACTGAAAAAAAGTAAATTAAAATAATAAAAAATCATTATCTGAAACAAAATTCCCAGGCTTCTTTCCCTCTCCTCCAGAATAAAAAAATGTTGTTCATTTATCATCCACAGCAAGTTGAGGCCAAAGTCATGTCAGATCATTTCTGTTTTGTTCTTTTTCTATCTGTAGATGCATCCAACATTAACACCTGCCTTGATTAAGTACTAGATTGACACATCCATGAGTGATACGACAGGTCCTTCAAAGGGAAAACATGTGCCTTAAGCATATGGGATTTATTATACTCCGCCGCGACACGAAACGGGGGACTATGTATTAAACGGGGGACTATGTATTAAACGGGGGACTATGTATTCAGCAGCGTCCGTATATATGTCTGTATCGTATGTGGAGTATAATATTGTACCCAATGTCTTCAGATTTGTTAACCTACATATGGCAGGGGTGGAAAGAACTTAAAATTGCTATGTACTCATGGCAGTATAATATTGTACCACTATAATGTCTTCTTGTTGATTTGGTTAAAAAGCAACATAATTAACATTGGGAAGTCAACTGGACATCGGTACAGCTACATATTTGGGATTACACTAGACACATCGGGCAGTTGTATGGTGATCACAGGTTGACCTTGATCTTATTTCAAGGTCACCATGACACTTTGACCACTTTTCTAACTCTTGTTAATGCAATATCTCATGCACCCAATGTCTTCAAATTTGGTGACAGCCTACATTGGGGGATTACAGACACCAGTAGATTTGGGTGATCTTGAAAATAAAGTCAAGGTCACCCAAATCGACTGGTGGACACTTTGACCACTTTTCAAACTTACATAAACGCGATATCCCTTAAAACCTTGCACCCAATGTCTTCAGTTATGTTGACAGTCTTCATTGGGGGTTTACGCAGACAATAATCTTTTCAGGCTGACCTTGACCTTATTTTCAAGGTCACATGACACTTTTCAAAATATCACATGTCGCAATACCCAGACCAATTATGATCTTTCATGAGTAAAAGGTTGTATTGTCTTTGAAGATTTAGACATAATGTAAAGTCACCTGTTTTGAATTTAATAACATGGTAAAGATACGCAGACATTTTAGCCTCTGAGCTGAAGAATATGTTGCCATTTCTGACAAATTTTATGTCAGGAACGGGTATCAGGGTAGGGTAGGGTAAAACTTGGACCCGTCACAACCCTACTACACACTGATACTGACAGTGGATATGTGCATATGCATCTGTACATTCAAATCTACTATATTCTTGAAATATTAGAAGATTCAGAGAATTTACCATGACTAAAAACAACATCACACAAAAGGTAATATTCGTGACCAAAAGATACAAACTAGTAAATATGTTATATTTCATTCTTCTTCAGTGGCAGGGACATTGCCATGTTAGTGACAAACACTTGTTGTGATTAAATTTTACGTTCAGGTCTGCTTACTTTGGTTTACAAAGTGAAAAGGAAGGTTATGTCAAATATTAATTTATTGGAAGTCTGTTTAACTGAATATACTGGGACCATAGAATTTGAGAAAACTTATATAAATTCATTAGTTAAGAGATAAATGACTAATTTTCAGTGTAAACAATATATAGTGTTAATTGCAATTCTGAACTTCAGTATTTTCAACTGAGTGATATGTTCACAAGTTTTCACCCTTGAAGGTCCGGGTTAGATTTTGTCTTCAGCAAGGCTCCATTAGAGCAGGGGTGAAATAACCCATTGCCCAACGCCCGAGTCCAGTGTCTTTTTCTGTCGGGCAAGCTTTGTATATCACACTGTACCGGTGTCCAGTTGACTTTCCAATATAAATTATGTTGTTTATTTTAAAAAATCAACAAGAAAATCGGCCAGTATAATGGAAACATTATCAGGGCAAGTGATTTTACTTGTGCCACTGTACCAGAGTACACTAGCAATTTTAAAGTTATTTCCACCCCTGTAGAGGTGACTTGATTGTTGTTAGAGTTAACGAATATGATCAGGTCGTTAAACTTGCAGAGCTTGCTGGTGGCTGTCATTGTTTCACAATTGTGTAGATTGATGCTCAAGATGCCAGTTACGCTATTGTCAGGTCCATACTCTAATTTACAGACCACGAATGATCCCAAGTGTGGCTTTAAACAAAAAAACATTTTACGGATGGTGTGTTGTGGTTGAAGCAAATTGTCATTACATTTAATTGCAGAGAAGCAGGAACGAAAGTTTCACGTTACTAGAGTGTTGTTTTGTTTTAGGAGTACATGTGGTACCGTAAGCACACCTACATGCGTTTGGATGGATCATCAAAGATCTCAGAGAGGCGTGACATGGTAGCTGACTTCCAGAATCGATCTGACATCTTTGTTTTCCTTCTGAGTACAAGAGCTGGCGGGCTGGGAATCAACCTCACTGCTGCTGATACTGTAAGTTAACATTGCATTTCTTGTGAAGGGATATGGTCTTGAGTTCTAACATGGCTTCATCAGTCCAGATGGAGTTATTCCCCTTAGACTGTAGTGCTTTGTTTGATAGTACCTGTACAAGACCTCATGATTCTTCTTAATTTTGAACTCTAAGCGATCATGTCATAAAGTCAATTTATGCACTGATAGTTCCACATAGTTACTTTGAGAATGTTTTCATGGAATATCTATTTAATGTGATACACATTTGTTGCATTGCTTGCTTGAATGATCTCAAGTGTGTATAACCAGATTGATTGTGTGTCATTTGATTAGATCATTGTCCATGCTTCAAGCCATTGTCTAGTAATATTTAGGAATTGCAGCGTTTTGTGTAAACAAACAAAACTTCCTGAATCTTTCCTCTCCATGTTTGGATAGCATACTTTTTATCTGCTTATATCAGGTTAGAATTTAACATTGCATCGTTCCTATAATTTACGGATCATTGTACAAAATGAAATTTTTCTGGGGGCAAGACATGATTGCATTTTTGCAAACTTTATCATTTATCAATAATAATTATATGCATCAGACATCACAGATTCTCCTCCACTATCAGGCTGACATGTTACCTCTGAAATGCTGTTCAAATCAAATTCACTCACTCTTGCAGTAACACTGCTCTTCGAGTTGTATATGTTAATAAGCAGTAAACATATCCTATAACTATAACTTGCCTTTGAGTGTCTTTGAAGAAAGATCTTAATCATGACATGGACTATTACCCACTGAGCTATTTAAAAGAATTCAGCAAGGATTAGTCTCGTAAATCACGGCTAAAGTTTAAATTGATTTAGTGGTCAGTGTGCAACTGATCACATTACAGACATCAAGGTGGACAGTACATTGTTGTAACTTGATGTTGCTCTTGTACTGAGGCTTTTCATTTGAATATTCATTGCTGACTCACTGACGATGTTATTGCAGGTGATATTCTATGACAGTGACTGGAACCCAACTGTAGATCAACAGGCTATGGATCGAGCCCATCGTCTGGGTCAGACCAAGCAGGTCACTGTGTACAGGCTCATCTGTAAAGGGACTATTGAAGAGAGGATTCTACAGAGAGCCAAGGAGAAAAGCGAGGTAACCGATTCAAAACTACTCTTCTTGAGTGTGGTTTGATATCAAGTCAACTTATTTCACACCAGTGAATTAATACCCCAGTCCTAAATGTCATCTGCTCTTGAGAGATGTGTCAAGTATTTATATCACTATCACTCAGAACATGTAAGTAGTAATGCTGATGACAGTTTAGTTCAAGTAGTGCTGTTATAGTTTAGTTCGAGTAATGCTGATGACAGTTTAGTTCAAGTAATGTTGATGACAGTTCAGTGTAAGTAATGTTGATGACAGTTCAGTGTAAGTAATGCTGATGACAGTTCAGTGTAAGTAAATCTGATGACAGTTCAGTGTAAGTAATGCTGATGACAGTTCAGTGTAAGTAATGTTGATGACAGTTCAGTGTAAGTAATGTTGATGACAGTTCATTGTAATTAAATCTGATGACAGTTCAGTGTAAGTAATGTTGATGACAGTTCAGTGTAAGTAATGTTGATGACAGTTCAGTGTAAGTAATGTTGATGATGACAGTTCAGTGTAAGTAATGTTGATGACAGTTCAGTGTAGTGTAAGTAATGTTGATGACAGTTCAGTGTAAGTAATGTTGATGACAGTTCAGTGTAAGTAATGCTGATGATGACAGTTCAGTGTTCAAGTAATGTTGATGACAGTTCAGTGTAAGAATGTTGATGACAGTTCAGAGTTCAGTGTTCAGTGTAAGTAATGTTGATGACAGTTCAGTTGACAGTTCAGTGTTCAGTGTAAGTAATGTTGATGACAGTTCAGTGTAAGTAATGTTGATGACAGTTCAGTGTGTAATGTTGATGACAGTTCAGTGTAAGTAAATCTGATGACAGTTCAGTGTAAGTAATGTTGATGACAGTTCAGTGTAAGTAATGTTGATGACAGTTCAGTGTAATGCTGATGACAGTTCAGTGTAAGTAATGTTGATGACAGTTCAGTGTAAGTAATGTTGATGACAGTTCAGTGTAAGTAATGTTGATGACAGTTCAGTGTAAGTAATGTTGATGACAGTTCAGTGTAAGTAATGTTGATGACAGTTCAGTGTAAGTAATGTTGATGACAGTTCAGTGTAAGTAAATCTGATGACAGTTCAGTGTAAGTAATGTTGATGACAGTTCAGTGTAAGTAATGTTGATGACAGTTCAGTGTAAGTAAATGTTGATGACAGTTCAGTGTAAGTAATGTTGATGACAGTTCAGTGTAAGTAATGTTGATGACAGTTCAGTGTAAGTAATGCTGATGACAGTTCATTGTAATTAAATCTGATGACAGTTCAGTGTAAGTAATGTTGATGACAGTTCAGTGTAAGTAATGTGAATGTTGATGACAGTTCAGTGTAATTTCAGTGTAATTAAATCTGATGACAGTTCAGTGTAAGTAATAAGTAATGTTGATGACAGTTCAGTGTAAGTAAATCTGATGACAGTTCAGTGTAAGTAATGTTGATGACAGTTCAGTGTAAGTAATGTTGATGACAGTTCAGTGTAAGTAAATCTGATGACAGTTCAGTGTAAGTAATGTTGATGACAGTTCAGTGTAAGTAATGTTGATGACAGTTCAGTGTAAGTAAATCTGATGACAGTTCAGTGTAAGTAATGCTGATGACAGTTCAGTGTAAGTAATGCTGATGACAGTTCAGTGTAAGTAATGATGACAGTTCAGTAAGTAATGTAAGTAATGTTGATGACAGTTCAGTGTAAGTAATGTGATGATGACAGTTCAGTTCAGTAAGTAATGTTGATGACAGTTCAGTGTAAGTAATAATGTTGATGACAGTTCAGTGTAATGCTGATGACAGTTCAGTGTAAGTAATGCTGATGACAGTTCAGTGTAAGTTCAAAGTAATGCTGATGACACAGTTCAGTGTAAGCAATGTTGATGACAGTTTCAGTGTAAGTAATGTGTAAGTAATGACAGTTCAGTGTAAGCAATTAACAGTTCAGTGTAATTAAATCTGATGACAGTTCAGTGTAAGTAATGTTGATGACAGTTCAGTGTAAGTGAATCTGATGACAGTTCAGTGTAAGTAAATCTGATGACAGTTCAGTGTAAGTAATGTTGATGACAGTTCAGTGTAAGTAATGTTGATGACAGTTCAGTGTAAGTAATGTTGATGACAGTTCAGTTTAAGTAATGTTGATGACAGTTCAGTGTAAGTAATGTTGATGACAGTTCAGTGTTAGTAAGTCTGATGACAGTTCAGTGTAAGTAAATCTGATGACAGTTCAGTGTAAGTAAATCTGATGACAGTTCAGTGTAAGTAATGTTGATGACAGTTCAATGTAAGTAATGCTGATGACAGTTCAGTGTAAGTAATGCTGATGACAGTTCAGTGTAAGTAATGTTGATGACAGTTCAGTGTAAGTAAATCTGATGACAGTTCAGTGTAAGTAATGTTGATGACAGTTTAGTGTAAGTAATGTTGACAGTTCAGTCTAAGTAATGCTGATGGTAGTTTAGTGTTAGTAGTGCTGTTATAGTTTAGTTCGAGTAATGCTGATGACAGTTTAGTTCAAGTAGTGCTGTTATAGTTTAGTTCAAGTAATGTTGACAGTTTAGTTCAAGTAATGTTGATGACAGTTCAGTGTAAGTAATGTTGATGACAGTTCAGTGTAAGTAAATCTGATGACAGTTCAGTGTAATTAAATCTGATGACAGTTCAGTGTAAGTAATGTTGATGACAGTTCAGTGTAAGTAATGCTGATGACAGTTTAGTTCAAGTAATGCTTATGACAGTTTAGTTCAAGTAATGCTGATGACAGTTTAGTTCAGGTAATGATCAGTGTACATAATGCTGAAAGGTCTGTAATGCTGACAGTTCGGTTATTTAATATGAAACAGAATGGCTTCTGTATGATAAAGCTGGATCAAATGTGTATTTGTTTGCAGATCCAGAGAATGGTTATTCAGGGAGGCAATTTCCGGCCTGACACACTCAAACCCAAGGAGGTTGTGTCCCTGCTCATTGATGATGATGAGATGGAAAAGAAATGTAAGTAATACAACTTGGATCAAATCATTGCATTGGTTTGGTTTTCTTGAATAAATGAAAGGGAGATAAGAGCATGTACTGAACACTTTTTCATAACTAAATCATTGATATAATTTTGCATCTAAATTATGCATGGTCTCAATGATTGAGTTCTAACAATCTAGTGACTTCAGAGAGCTAATGAAGTTGCAATTTCTTTGCAGTACGATCACGGCAAGAAGAGAGAAGAGGGAGAGACAGTCAGAACAAGGACGACAGGAAACGAAAACGAGAATACAAGGTGAGTAAGATCAGTGAGCACTATGCACTGAAGATCGCCCTTTTGGTGAAATATTTGGTGATCTTTTTAAACTTTTACTTATTTCTGGTCATCTGGATGATAAAACAAACATGGCTTCTCTCTCTTTTTACTTCTCTTTTAACTCATTTCCTATTTTGGGAGTCATAAAACAGATTGGCCCAACCAGTAAATTCAATTTCAAATAACTCTTTTTATACTGAGTATTTCCTCAGTTTGTGAATTTGGTTCTAGATAAAAGTGTGTGTGTGTGTGTGTGGGGGGGCTTGTCATAATTGTATGTTTTGAAATGTTTAAGATTGTATTATGTTTTAAAAAATACATAGCTTCAACAGTAAGTGAAGATTTTTTTTAAAACATTTTACATATTTTTGGTCGGCTGGATGAAAACCAAACATGGCTTCTCTCTCTTGGTTCCTTCTCTCTTTACTCATTTTGGTTTTTTGGGAGACATTGGATTCATAAACCATGAATAGAAAAACAGATTAGTCTGACGAGTAAATAACTGCAACACATTTTAAGGCTTAGATTAAATGAGCTGATGAGAATGTTGTGTTTTCCAGAAACGAGAAGGAAAAAGGTCCAAGTTAGATGATTCAAATCTGACAATCCCTGCACCAGATACAGAGTCTGTTGCAAGTGTGGACTCAGTGTCAGTTCCAACTAGTCCACAAAGTGTGGTAAGTGGTGTTTCCGCTAACAACTGTCGTTATCGCCCAGCCCTAGATCTATATCCATTTCATACTCCAGATGTCATTGACAGTCTAATTATTATGATAAAAATCAGTAAGATAGTAATTTGTCAGCCATGACATTCAATGTCATCCCGACCTGCTGCCTTCTAAATGCACATTGTCTTCAACATTTGAAAGCTTGTTTGCTCATAAGAATATGAAACTAGAAAGTTCAGGAAGTATGTGGTTTAGGGAACAGCTGTTCAGTTCAGTGCTTTTTGTTACGCTCCAGCTGCATACGAAGAAGGCTTTCTTTTGTTTCATCTTATTTAACCTGTGATGGTATATATGACAATTGGAAATGTTATTTATGGTATGGAACTGTGAAAACCCTAAGTGAGTAAGTTCTGTTTCCATAGGAATTATAGCATAGATTTGTATCCAAGAAACCTATAGTGGTTGTAAGAATCGCACTTTGTTGTTGAGCCTGTTGTTGCAAATGTATTTCAATCCTTATTAGATACCTACGAGTTCTGCGGATTGTTCCTGAGAGGTTAGTGAGTGAATGCATATAGTTTTATGCCACTTTAACAGTATTCCAGCATGACACCTGAAATTGGCTTCACACAATGTACCAGTGCAGGGTATCAAACCCGGGTCTTTGAAATGACGACCACAACGTTTTAACCACAGGCTACCTCACTGACCTGGGCCCCATTTCACAAAGCGATCTTAGCACTACGACTGTCGTAACTCCTATACTGTAACATACACTTAAGACAGTCGTAGCACAACGATAGCTTTGTGAAACGGGGCCCTGTTCCTCAGAGGAACAGAGAGGAATGTTTCAAACAATCTAAGAAATTCCCTTTGGACCTGTGATTAAAAACATTTGTTCAAGAAAGTCAAATGAACATCAACAATGATAACTGACCAGTGGCTGTATTCTTGAAACGATCGTAGCCCTAAGAATTCTTAACTTTGATCATAGCCAGTGTGTTAAGAATTGGGCTTAAGAAGTTAACTAACCAGATCATTTATGGAAAGGATTTGAGAAAATGGTTGTTCAGCATGCCTGTGAATATAGGAAGGAGATAAAATAGGCCATGTTTTTCTTACTAAGCTGTATTCGATGATGTGGAATTCATTTACTGTCCTTAGGACTAGAAGTGTTCCATTTCGAATTAGGGGGCGTTGGGGTAGCCTAGTGGGTAAAGCGTTTGCTCGTCACGCCGAAGGCCCGGGTTCAATTCCCCACATGGGTAAAATGTGTGAAGCCCATTTCTGGTGTCCTCCGCCGTGATGTTGCTGGAATATTGCTAATAGCGGCGTAAAATCAAACTCACTCACTCACTCCAGGTCGAATTATAAATCAAGTGAAAAAGTTTTTCCTTGAAACAGCATCTGTATGAAATTACTGTGAAAATAGGTCTAAGAAATGAAATATCTATCTCCTGTTCTAATGTCATTAAGCTATCTACAGAATGTTAAGAATCTTGCTGATTACATTTGAGATACTTTTAAAAAGTCTAAATGTTTCAAAGATGCCAGTAAAAATGTTTAAGTGCAAAAGAAATGCCTGGAGCAACCCGACACTTTAAAATCAGCGATGACAAAAATGTTGTCGCTGCTGTGCTGATAGTGTAGTAACTTATCTGAGCCTTCTGTGGAACTGCCATGATTTATCCATCGAGACTTACCCTTGGTTGTTGAAAGAGGAAGGAAATGTCGGGTGATGTCTAGGATTGTAGATAGAGCATGTGTTGTCATATTAAGAGTGAGACAATAGCACACTTTATCTACATGAACTTCGAGCAGGGTCTGAGTTGTAGACAATGCCTCGGCACTCTTGGTATTTCTCGAGAAAATATGTGAAGTTTAAGTTTCACTCTCAACAGACGTATATGCAGCTGTGAATAAGGGGATGATGCCTATGTACAGGTTTTAATTAAATCCCATTTAAATTGTTTGAACTCATTTTACAACTGATTCAGTGTCATACCCTGTTGTTACATAATAGCGTTATCAATCTTTTCAAGAGCAACTGATCGTCTTGCATTCTACTCTGAAATAATTTGCCTCATAGAAATATAACACATTTGAAAAAATGTTGGAAATTAGTTTTGCCCTTCTTTAGACAACCACACCCATTTAGTTTTAAAGTCTCTTTTTAAAAACTTTAATCTCTCCGGCACCGGTCCGATATTAAAGTTTCAGAAAATTGATCAGATGACAAAACCAGGCGGTTGTGTTAGGTCTCCTTGGTATTCTTACAGACAGATTAAGGATGAGAGAGGAAATCAACTGATTATTGTCCCCCGCCAGAACTGGGGACTATGTATTCAGCGGCGTCTGTCCGTACGTCCCGATTCTTGTTGAGGCGATATCTCATGAACTGTTGTACCCAATGTCTTTAAATTTGGTGACAGCCTACATTGGGGGATTACCCAGACACCAGTCGATTTGGGTAACCTTGACCTTATCTTCAAGGTTACCATGACACTTTGAACACTTGTTAACATGATATCTCATGCACTGTTTTATCCAATTTCTTCAAATTTGGTGACAGCCTACATTATGGGATTACACAGACACCAATTCATTTGGGTGACCTTGACCATATCTCCAAGGTCACCATGACACTTTGACCACTTTTCAAACTGTTGTTAACGTGATATCTCATGAACTGTTGTACCCAATGTCTTCAATTTTGTGACAGCCTACATTGGGGGATTACCCAGACACCAGTCGATTTGGGTGACCTTGACCTTATTTTGAAGGTTACCGCGACACTTTGACCACTTTTCAAACTTTTGTTAATGCGATATCTCATGAACTGTTGTACCCAATGTTTCAAATTTGGTGACAGCCTACATTGGGAGATTACCAGACGATTTTCAAACTTATATAAACGTGATATCTCATAAAACATTGCACCCAATGTTTTCAATTATGTCAACGGTGTACATTGAGTGATTATGCAGACACCAGTCATTTCAGGCATCTTTTATGTGACCAAAAAATAAAAAGTAGTAAATATGTTAAAGATATTCATTGACATTGCCAATTAAATATTAATGTTAATTAGTAAACTGCTGTTTTGGTACCTCACAATTTATTTATTTCTGCTTTTTAAAAACCTTTCATATCCCCCCATTGGTTAGGTCTTTGATCCTTGTAACTCAAATAATTGGCCTTTCATAGTAGTGTAAGAGTCGGTTATGAGATCAAATTTCTTTCAAGATCTTCCAAATATATGACATTCCCCAGCAAGATGAGAGTACCTTTGTAGCATAGTTGCCTATCAACTCCTCCTTAGATCAATGGAGTGCAACCTAACAATGTAGGTATCAGTGTAGTGTGTAACCTGATGAAGATGTCTCCTGTTGACAGCTGTATTCCACAATTTATCACCAGCCTCTATGCTTGAGTGTTATTGTTTACCGTGTCTTCTTCTATCTACATACTGGGAATAGCTGCTCAGGGGATCAAGACCTAGATACAAAACCTTCTCACGGGTACTGTTTACAGCAGTATGGTGGCAGATGTTTTGCTTGGAAAGTATGAAACCTTATCTGAATATAGGGGGAAAGAAAATGATATGGATGTGTAACTTTTCATTTGTTACATACTCATCACCTAAGTGGTATCTTTTATTTATATCTAGTGGTCATACAAATTTAGTGGGTAAAGAATTTGCAATGGAAGAAGTCATGACCTGAGGACGATCTGACGTGTATTCCTCCAAGTTCCACAAAAACTTATGGTTGTTGTAATTATCCCTAGGCATGTGGTGATATAGTGGATACATAATCTTACTAGCCAGCATGTATTGATGGTCCCAGTTGTCCAACAACAATATTCCAGCAAAATCACTGCGGTGATCACACATTGTACCCATGTGAGGAATCAAACCCGGGTCTTCGTCATGAAGAGCAAATGCTTTAACCACTAGGCCTCCCAACTGAACCCTAGCAACAGGAAGGCTGTATATGTTTCAGATAAGTTCCAACATTAAGGTTCATTGTAGACACAACTAGTCTGTAACAGGAAAGATATTCCACAATTCCAGAAAGTTCATAAGTTGTGGGGGCGGTGGGGTAGCCTAGTGGTTAAAGCGTTTGCTTGTGACACCAAAGACCTGGGTTCGATTCCCCACATGGGTACAATGTGTGAAGCCCATTTCTAGTGTTCCCAGCCATGATATTGCTGGGATATTGCTAAAAGCGGTGTAAAACTAAACTCACTCGCTCATAAGTTGTGTCTTGAGTGTATTCCTACAACCTAGACAGGTTGTCTCCCCACTTCTTTGGTGCAGTCCACAAGTAATGTTATGTTCCTACTCTCCTGCAGATGTCAGTGGGAAGTGAAGCTCTGTTTGCTGCCACACATGAAGACAGCAGCAACGATGGAGGACTGGTCATAGTTGACGATGCACACATATCATACCCACCAGGTAATCCTACTTGTAAGACAAGTGGTTTTAGTGGTTCAAAATGCCCGTGCAATGACTGGTAGTCATGTCATCAAATAAATCACCACACCAAAAGGTTTAGATATAACATCCCTACTGTAACTACCGGTGCTGGGTTATGTCCCTTTTGTACTAGGATCAGCTGGTAGTTGGTTCGAATTCCAGATTCACTAAACAAATATGTGCCCTTCTTTAGTTAGTATTACATCTTTTCTGATACGTTTTACCATCTTTGACCTGCAGCATCTTGGACCTAGGGAATGTCACCATTTTGTCATTTATTTCAAAGAGATATTATTACATGTAACTTCTTTTGCCTTCCTTGAAATTGACGATTATGTATTTATTAAAACAGCTGCATTTTGTATCTCAGATAGGAATGAACTTAAATATATGTTGCTGTAAAGGTTAAGTGACCCTCCCATGTGTTACTACTAAATGGGCCTTTGTGAGCCTTGATCTATGTTATTTCAACAAATTACACTATTAAATTATGTCTTTCTAAACACTTTAATAATTCGCACATTTCCTTTCAAGTCTGTATTGACACAAAATGCTTCCTTTGTCCCTTCTGCCCCACATGAGATTTCCTGAATCAGGACAAGATGTGCATGGAATTAACGACTTTGCTCAATGTCTGTGATGCTAAATTTGTCACCTGGTGCTGATTCCAGTTGCCTCAACACCGACTCCACCAAGCAAGAGGGGGCGTGGCAGGGGCCGGCCCCGGGGATCTGGTGTCGGTCGGCGGCCCAGGGGGAGAGGCACAAAGAAAGCACTAAGTGCAGCCGAGATTGCAGGGGCTCAAGCAGGGATGACTGCAGCCTATGCAGCGCTGGGGTACAATGTTTCAAACATTGGTAAGTGGAACAGGTTTCACTAAGAATGGTGAAGAAAACCCTTACGTGGCATTTTATGGATTCCTGGATAAGAATTTCACCATTCTTTTGTTGCTCAAAGTTTCTGTTGTTACTGAATTAGTGCTGATTTGTTTATAAATCCCCAATTGGTATTCTGTGAATAGAATCACTGCCCACCTACCTGTGTTGGTTGTAAAATGCAACATTTGGATCAAAATTGGATCGGGTTGTCAGGCCTTGTACCATGGGAGCGAGGACGTTCCTCACAATATCAGTCACTGGATTGTATGGTTCAGATTTGTTAAACAACAAACCAATTCACTCTGTACATATGCTGAGTAACTTGTTTGAGCACGCTGTACAAACCCCAAAACATACTGTAAAAATGTAAAAAGTCATTAGTATAAATTCCTAAACATGAATGACAAACAAAATGTTATTTCAAACAAAGATATTTCAAGACAAGTTAAAAGGAAAAGAATGAAATATTTGATGAAGATAGAATTGGAGTCTGTTCAAGCCCACATCTAAGTCTGTACCTACCGTACGGGTTGGTGGGGTAACCTAGTGGTTAAGGCGTTCCCTCATCACGCCGAGGACCCGGGTTCCATTCCCCACATGGGTACAATGTGTGAAGCCCATTTCTGCTGTCTCCCGCCATGATATTGCTGGAATATTGCTAAAAGTGGCGTAAAACTAAACTCATTCAATCACTACCTACCATACGTTAATTGAATATGCAGACTGATGCAACTTGTTGAAGAACACCTTAGTTAAGGTTGGAAGGGGTTAATCTAGACAAGGAGATAAATGTTAGTGTTACATTGATAGAAGCACGAATGCCAACAGTCCTCCTCAGTCATGTAAGTACACACAAAAACAAATGAGAATCTTTTCAGTCCGCTATTGTATTGCGGAATCTTTCACACGTGATCTTGTACCAGATAACACCAGCAGTACTGACGTGCATATTCCATCATCATAAAGTCCAGCCAAGTGTAGACATGGCCTCTCCTGTGTATGCCAATAAACAGCAACACAGAGCACCATTGCCTGATCTACAGCTGTTGCTAGAACGCACTGTTCATAAACACTACACAGTATACCACAGATACACACAGATGGGGCCTAAACTGAGGACATATATGTCAACCTCCGCATTATTTGCCTGTCTTGAAGGTTCTGGAGGTTTGCTAAACAAGCCTGTGTCACCAACCCATGTGATTCACTGATCTTTGTTATTTTCATAGAACCCCTTGGAGAACAATATAATCACTTACAGCAGGCTGTTGGTTTGAGTTCTTTCATCATCACAGCAAGTGATATTTTCATTGTATTAAAGTTAATGTTTTTCAGGAAATGTCAGTGTATTGTATGGCATAGTGACAAAATGGATGTAGAAAATGTAATAACTGCACTGTCAAATTCAGCCCCTATCAAATTTGTTGTGTTATCTGGCTGATATTTAGGAATGGAATTTATGATTTTAATGGAACCAATTGAAACGACTGTCTAAAGTGTCAAATGTGATTGTTAGAATGATATTTTCAGGGTCAACTGGTTCTCCTCGAGCAGCTGGGTCTCTGCCAACGTCAGGGAGAAGCACACCCACAGTTTGACAGCCACACCATAAAAACAGATGCTTTGCGTAAACAGTCATTTTTAATAGGTTTCTCCATGACATTGCTGTGGGGTACCTCTGGTTGTTTTAGTCAAGGAATAAACGGGGATACTACTTGAAGACACACAAGTCTGTTGGAAGAGGAAAGATACAAATTAGTTTATGTATAGACCAGTCTGTGCATTATGTCCATCTTGGTCTGAAGAAAAAAGACTTTATGTTCCATTTGGCTTCTCAAATGTACTGTGTGGCCATTGCTGTGTGTAGTTCATTGACTTCAAATATAGCCTAGGAACGGACTTTATAGTGGCAGTAGTTGCTAAGGACAGCCATCAGGACTGGTACCTTTGAATGAGGAAGAGGTGATCTTACAGAATCTGTGTTCATACACACTGGAACATTTTAACTAGACATATCCTGAACCTAATCAATGTCCATAGCTAGTGTAAAACCCATCGCAGCTGATACACTATAGCCATGGGCAAATGATATTAAGCTACTTTGGTGATGTCCAGTGTAATCTTGTACATTCAACAGAACTAGTCCTCCATAGTAATTGACAGTTGCTGTTGGCCAATCTGGTAATGAGCATTGTTGACATTTAAAATCATTACAGCTGATCCCTTACAGCATTTGACAAATGCTATTCGTCCAGTCTGGTATTGACAATAGTCGATGATAAAGGTCATCAGAACTGGAACCTGTAAAATATGCACCAATATTATTGTCATGTTCATAGAAGTTTTAATTCAGCAGTACTGTTACCTTGAAACCATTTACGTTCTATCTAGTCCATCCTAATATGGCCATGATCTGAGTGTATGGCCATCAGGACTAGTTGTATTTAAGCCAACAACTTTATGGGTGACAACTTGTTTATTGCATAGAGCAACGTTTTGGTGTCGAGTCTTACACTGTTACCAAGCTTAAGGTCAAATAGGAGTGAAAAAAGTCATCCATAAAGGTGTAGCTTCATTTTTAACCTGCCAACTTCCAGAATGCCAATTAAACATTTTGGCAAGTGTTGGCAACAAATTGAAATAAAGGTATTTGAAGGCCTATCATGCAGATGACTAGTCACAGAATGGGATCTGTTAAGACTATGACTGCTTGTAAGCTTCTGGAGAAAAACAAATAGAATCATGCACACATCTATGGGAGGACCAGTGAATGAAGTGTTTGATGATCATAATGGAAAATGAAAGTATTGCATAAGCATGCGAAAGGAGGATTGTTTCCAATGAAATATTATTTCTTTCTACTCAAGACAGGAACTGTCCATTTTCCTATGCAGATGTGAATGAGTTGGTATCACAAATATGAAATGTATTTAGAAAAGGACTTGTATGTCAATGTGAAAGCATATGTTCTTTGTTTCTATATGAGTTGAAGATGTTCGTGGTGGTCAGTGTTGATTCTACATTGTAGAACTCTGCAATCATGTTGAGAAAACAGCTGCCTTTACTCATCTTTACCGGTTCATAAAAAAATATGCAAATTTGTATGTCCTAAACTATTGACAGTATAGTTTCATGACTTTTTCAAGGTTTTTCATCTGATTGTACATATATAGGCTACAATCATTGTAGATAGAAGCTGTTTTCATATTAAATGAATCAGTGAAAGAACATTGTGTGCAAGAACAAAGGAACTTTGGTACCAAGAGAATCTCTTTTGTCCAAGATATTGAGAAGTGAAGGTTGTCCAATATATGTGTAAATGTTTGTGAAGTATATCGGAAACTTAAGAATTAATGTCAGCTGAAAAAGAATAGAATATAGGCAACAGTGAAAGCGTGCATACTGACACATACCTGCATTGAATCAAGTGCAAGATGTCAGTCCAGATCATCCAGGAAGACTTGTGGCATGCTGAGTGTTGCCGTGTCCTGAATATAATTGTGGTACCAGAACTATGATATGTAATGTGGTGGAGGAGTGTATTAGTTTTCAGTTCCAGTGCACATTTCTTGGACTGGGAGATGAATGTGTATTTGTGATTCAGTCAGTCGTGAGTGAGTAAGTTTAGTTTTACGCCACTTTGAGCAATATTCCAGCAATATCAAGGCGGGGGACACCAGAAATGGGTTTCACACATTGTACCCATGTCGGAAATCAAACCCGAGTCTGCGGCTTGATGGGCAAATGCTTTAACCACTAGGCTACCCCACCGTCAGGATCTTGTCCAACATCACTTGATCAGGGTGTGTTTTGAAACTCCTAAAAATGTGTTGGCCAATGTCTGAAGTGAAGGTCATGGCATTGCTCGTTGATGTTTGCCCTGATCATTCCGTATTGAGAGGAGGTTTTGTGCGACAGTTGTTTTCAGTCAGATGTGCCGCACCTGTGTGATAATTTCTGTGTGAGCAAGTTGTGTGGTCAGTCACATGTTGTATTTCCCAGGAGAAATGACGTGTAAGGTTATATCACATATGATCCACAGACTCTTTTATGAATATAGCAGTTATATGAGAATGGTTTTCATCAATCTGATTATCCTTCACAGAACTTGGCAAATGTGGAAACATCTTTTTCATTATGGTTTTGAAATTAATACTCTGTGAAGATAAATTGAATATGTTTGACACATGAACCTAAAATGTCAATGGTCAAAACTGAAAAGTATATGAATATGATATGGATATGTGGACCAGAGATGTGGCCTAACAAAGGGTATTCATTCTCTCACACATGGAGAACATCAAATATACCAGTGGACAGTGTTAAATAAATATACTTTGGAAAATATGTGATTTGTGACAGATTTTCTTCATGTGTTAAAATTGTAAGCTTTCCTCTGAGAGAGGCATAGATATCAACAGTTGCCTATTGGCATAATGTTTAGGTTTTTTTAAATATGATATATCCTAGTGGGGCTAATCTTTGGCCATCTTGCATTTGAAGGACATTTGATTCATGTCACCCAAGTCTCTGACTTGTAAATGACACCAGACCATTGAGTTTTGGCCCTTTATGAGGACCAGTCGTATTTCATGAAAGGGGAGGGGGTGATATACTTACGTTATTTTTATCTTAATATCAAATGTCCTGTTGATGTTACATGTTAATTTATGCCCTGTAGTAGAACTTACATTTAAGAGGTCATTCCAGAGGTTTTTCTTACATAAAGAGACTTGGGTTGAGTTATAGCAAAGCTATGTGTGACAGTGAATGAATTGTATCAGACTGTAAGATAATATTGTGGAATGCAAGATACTGCTATTATCATGACAACTACCTTTACACCTCCTATTTTCAATATTGATGTATTCAGCAACATGAAATGATGCGTGTTCATGTGATGATTCGGTTATTTTAAAAGAGACAAATGTTATTTATGATTATGTTGCTTGTTCCTCTGTTATGTAAATTCAATGATAGGAACTTGCATGTATTTGTTACATTTTTGGTTACATTACGAAAACTTGGTATAGTATCAAGTGGATATGTGGTCACACTGTTAACTAATCATGAAATGTTGGCACGAGTTGACTAAGACTGTGTGATTCTGTGTTCTGCCTGGCTGAGAGTTGTCTTGTTGTGATCTTCAGGAAGCATACCCTGGCATACCATGCAGAAAGCTGTGACAACAGCTAACCGTTCTCACCCAGGGGTATCGTGTTGCTGAGCTGTGTGACGACAAGTGTTAACACAGGTTTCATCATTGATCCTTTAGTTGTTAGTCTGTTGGTGATTGCTGTTACGAAATATGTTCTGTGTTTGGAGGTTTGTGACGTCCTCAAATTCGGCAAAGGTGAAGAATAGACAGTGCAAATGAACTCTGCATTAAGAAACAGCAATTAAATCATAAGTATTTAAATGAAAAAGGGTCTTGATTTTATATATCTGAAACTAAACATCTTGCTTGATAAAGCTTCATGTGCTTGTATGTATTTTTTTTAAGTTACCAATATCAGCACACAATGTTGTCATGTGTTTGATTCTCTGGACTTTAAACTAAAACATTATATTATTTTCACTCATGAATATAAACCTGTGGGTTACACGGTGATAGGTAGGAGTTGTTGATTCATATTATTTTATGTCCAAATGTAATTTGGCTTTTTTCTTTCATACAATATTCAGTGTCAGTAACAGGTGTAAATGATCAACCATTAGGACTTGATGTACAATTTTTGTCAGGATTAACTGAAGACACAATCGTACAGCCATCAAGATGACTCCACCCATAACAGTGAGATGTTATCTTCAGTCATATCTCTTCATGATTTGTAGATATGATTAAACTATTTTTACACTTGCATCAGTGTTTGTTTTTATGGGTGTTGTGACAGTTGTCATAATTCATTATGCATGGCTTTAGATTGTAGAGTACATGACCAAATATACTTCATCAGAATCAGTGCATTTCCCGGTTCCAACTGATACCAGCAACCTGGGCTGGTCCTCAGAGAAGGTAGCTATGGGCCTCGTGACTTGATTAACTGATTTTATCATTGTTCACAATACCAAATACTGGTTCTGGATTGTTTATAGGCTGCCGCCATATTGCTGGAATATTTCAGTGTGCATCCTTGAAACAAATCGGATGATCACAGTAAGAAATGGAACCAATGGAAGTTAAAGTGTGTGGAATCATCTGGGTCATCTCTCCAGCATTATGCTATAACAAGTAATGTTGAATTCAGCCTTAAACCAAAACCAAACCACACTGCGGCTGAGTGGGTTAGACAGCTGACTCTGTGTGCAACCAACATTACGCGGATTCGCCCGCACCACTGAGTGATAGTTGCATTTTAGTATTACAGGACATGTAAACCATAAACCAGTCATTCAAAAATATCCGCAACTGATCTTTAAGTAATACAAAATCAACCGTGCCAAACCAGCCACCCTTTCTGACTGCTTTCAAAGTAATACAAACGACACTGGAGAAGTCCGATGTCCAAAGAGGCGCTTTTTCGAGAGCGTGTTCCATTGCATTCCGGAGATTGTAGTCATTTCGTCAGTGAAAGAATTCTTCACACCCGATCTGTTCGCTGTTGTTTTCAGGAACTTCCTGTCATTGGTGGTTAACACGCGGGGCCGTGTTGACAAATTTAAAGAAAGCAAAACAAAAACGACACTGGGAAGTTTGAGTTGCAACATGCGTATGTTATGGTTACTGTGTCGCCATCGCAATGCATAACTGCTCGAAGATGCAAAAAATCTAAATTGCGTCGTATGAAACATCAGGATTATTTATTTCTTCAGTTGTGAAGTTGAGACTTGCGACACCCATTTCTGGGGCATTATATGTGAAATATCATCAGAATTATTCATAACAGCTCTTAACTATAAACGCAGCGATGGCAAGTACAGCAGTGAACATGTTTTCACAAAGGAAGAAGGTTTAGCGAAAGCCACCATGCGGTGTAGTGGATAGAACGTCCGCCAAGAGAGCGGAAGGTCGGTGGTCCGATCTCATTTTTGCGTGATACAAGACGTGGTTAAAACATGCCTTTCTTTGGGGAGAGGGTAAGGACAGGATTGATCGGAGTCACTATTTTTCGGTAAACACTCTACATCGATATAGTTACCTATAACACAAGCAGGCACACACACGTGTATGTATGCAGGCCTCTGAAAAAGTGCAGTAATCTTGAATGCGATGTTTAACTTCATTCACCTCACCTCCATCTTGAATTATAGTTCTTCAGATGTGTTCTACTATTTATCACTGTTTTCGTTTTTCAAATAAATGCAACTGAACATACAAAGACGTGCAGTTTCCTTACTTCAGCGACATTTTACTGTATTGATATGATCGGGGTTACAACATTCAAGACTTTAGCAAAGATTTCAACAAGTATTTCAAAAGCCGTGGAGGACGTGTACAATTTTGAAGCATCTGTGGCAGTTAATGTTTGATGCACTTCTCGTGTTTGATTTGAACATTTTCCCTTGTTTTTCAGAATAGCAACTAGGGGCGATGGGGTAGCCTTGTGGTTAACGCGTTCGCTCGTAACACCGAAGACCCGGGTTTTATTCCCCACATTGGTTCAATTTGTAAAGCCAATTTCTGGTGTCCCCGCAGTGATATTGCTGGAATGTTGCTAAAAGCGGCGTAAAATAAACTCATTCACGCACACTCAGAATAGCAACTGACTTGCACTTGCATGTGTTTATGATGAGTGCCACCGGTGGGGAGATTATGCTTACCGGCTCACGAACACCTGATACCATCACTATTTCATACTGATTCATAATTATGCCTGTGATACTGTTGGAATCGTGCAATGGAGTCCGTTTCATTATATATTTCTTCTGCTTATGACAACTGTTGTTTTTTTCGCTTTTATTGAAAGACGTTGACTGTGAGAAAATCGGTTTGCTGCAGCCGATATGCATGTTAAGATTCCATGTTGAACGGCGGTTTGCGATACGAAGCAGGAGGAAGAATCACTACTTTAGACCAGCTTCCATTCCAACGTTTTTGCAACTGCAGGCAATTTGAAGATAATTAGAAGTGTCATTCATTGAGAGAGTGTGACAGCAATTTCTCAACCGTAAGACAGATGACGACACGATTTATGAAACATGCGTTGTTTTGGCCGGTAGAAGGACGGGGGAGCAGTTTCTTTGCAGGTCGCATTAGAAGCGACAGGAACCACGTAGCGCCCATACAGAGCAACTGACGTTGGAGCCTTCATTTTATCTCGAAAGCAGTGTTTGTGAAGAAGCTGAGATTAAACTAGAACTTCTTCAACGCAAACCACACTTTCTGAAGTAGAGTGAGTATGGGTTTACGCCGCTTTTAGCAATATTCCAGCAATATCACGGCAGGGGACGTGCACCAGAAATGGGTTTCACATATTGTACCCATGTGGGGAATCGAACCCGGGTCTTCGGCGTGATGAGCCAACGCTTTAACCACTAGGCTACACCAACGCCCCTGAAGTAGAGTGCACTACTGTTATAACGAACTCAAAGGGACCACTACTCGTAGTCCGTTATAACAGTAGTTTGTTATACGCGTTTCGACTAAAATATACAGCAATTAACTGAGACAAAACTGTAGTTCGTTTTATCTGTCAGTTCGTTATTAGCATAGTTCACTCTATATTGTCACTTGAGAAGCACCAGTTAAAGCTACCATTGTTCTGCTTAGAGAGTTTTTTATTGACGGTTGACAATCCTTTCCCGCAGATGTTAAAACCATCAACCATTTCACTTCAAGGTCTCTGTTGTAACTCAAATTGCAGCAAACCCAGTTTGTTCCAGTGTATGGTTTTCAGTTATTTGAGAAAAGAAAACGTCTAATCTTTTTTCGCTTCTTTGTAACGGGCACGTGTCCAATATCTCCTTGATAGTATTCATAACCACAGAATCTGCTTTTGGAGAAATGGGCTTGATATCACCCTGGTTTATGGTTTCGGAATGGTTATAGCAGAAATGTCCCTTAGAACTTACGTCTCAGAGTAGGTCTCAACCCGTTTAATTGTCTATGTCTGCGACCAATCTATCGATATTCATTGAACACATGCTTACCATGCAGTTTAGCAGGCGCTTCTGTGAGACCTTTTCAGGGATTACACCAGAAGAGAGTATTCTCCACATAGATGGCGCTGTATCTGCTCATTGTATCACATACAAACACCTGAACACAAATAATTCCAAGATAAGATGGATGGGTAAACATACATTAATCAAATCTAGTATCGCCATTTTCCTTGCTGAAAGTACCGTTATGTTTATATGTCTGATATATAGCCTATGTATCTTGTACCCAACTGTCACTTTTATGTGTGTAACGTCAGCATCATGTAGTTTTATATAAACAAATGGCATTCTCTACGCGATGCTCGATTATTTCATATTATCAATGTTTACTGATTCCCATAAACAGTTGCCACTTCAAACGTGTTATTTACAACATCCAGTATTACGTGTCAGTGTTACGACTTCGCCTGTATAAGGACTAGTCGGGATAAAAGAGTTATGCTTGAAATTATCTGAATTTTATCATGAAATTAAAATATCTCACTCCTAGCATAGTTCAGCTGTACTAAGTGCAATCACCCGCTCTCTCTAATGCCCAGGGACAGCCATAATCATATGATTATTATGTAGCAATATTGTTAACGGTTTATTTGATTAACCGTGGAATCCAAACAGATCATGGCGGAACATGCCAGTAACATCCCCCTCCTGGCATATTTAGCCAGCAGGGCACGTGTAGAGGTGACTGACGCCCTGCTGTCCGATGTCAACCAGATATTTGCTGTCTTCACCGCCAGGGTTTAGACCTCAAAGCCTGAAACAAGGCCGTGATGGGTTCCTGCAGTTCTTCGCTGCTCGGCAACGCTACTTAGTCGCGCGAGAGTCTCGCGCGCACACGAGCCAGACGCGCGATGTTGAGACGTTCTTAGGTCGTAATTTACAGTGTTAATGAGAAGGGCGCTAGGTGACATTTTAGTCGTGTGCCATATGGGCCTGCTCGAGGCCCGACCGTGGGAACGTCTCCCTGATCGGAGAAAATGCCACAAGAGTAGTCAAGAGAAGAAGGCAAAAACAGGCGCGGGAGCAGATTCATATGAGGTTACGTTGGAATTAAACGCGAATGTTTTGGATACGTTTGAAGCAGTTTGACATCTGGTGATGCTAGAGTGACCAGATGTGTTGGGTCTACGCAGACGCCAGGCCTTAAAGAAGGATTACCCCTGGTTTCGCAAAGACTTTCAAACTGTTTTAGGCTTACGGAATTAGTGCACTGAAACCTTTATCCCACTTTGATAGCATCACATTACGTGCCGATATGTGTACACGAACAAACATGTCGTACAAACAAACACGGTCCTGGTGGTATTTCTTTATCTCCTTCAACGAAAACTTAAAAAAACGCAATCCTATTTTCTCTTTTATAATTCAAAACGCTGGGACCCATCCGTTAAACAGCTATCGGTGTCTTTGAACTATCTATATAAGATAGTTTTAAGTTTCCACAGACTATCTATTCGAATTAGAACTACATTTAAATATTTTGTGAATGATATCTAAGATTGTTTTATAACCTTTGGTTTGTGTAAGAATTTGGTCTTTGAAACCTGCTGTCGCTTGAGCTTTAAATTTGACTTAATCCATTCTAAATTGCAGAAGCGAGCCTTCAACAGGCTTGACGACCCACAGGCTCCACACTACTTTAAACCTAATAAACTACACACTCGTGTCATTTGTTTGTAGCACACGATTCTGGAATCTCGTAACACAGCACTGCGGGGAGCTCATCGCCGACAGACCGGCACGATCAACACAAGAGCGC